AAACTCCATTAATACCTCTCATTTAACGGACTTTTAACCCCTGATTTAATAGAGGACCAAAATGGTTAGCATTTTCAAAGTTGAGAACTTAATTGAGTAAGAAAAATTGTCGATGACCAAATTGATAATTTCACAATAGTCGAGAGACCATTTTGGTAATAAACTCAAGCAATAACGTATTTCATGAAATTCTATTATCTATACTATATATAAAAACAAAATCCTGAAATTTTAACTTCCCGCCCAATTACTAAAAAATCTCTCTTCCCAATCAAATATATTGATTTCTACTTTCCCATTCGTACAATAATTCTGGGTAAAAATTCTATTCTAAAATTATAAAATAGTGAAATACAATTCTCCTTGCACATCTAATCTATACTATATATAAAAACAAAATCCTGAAATTTTAACTTCCCGCCCAATTCCTAAAAAATCTCTCTTCCCAATAAAATATATTAATTTCTACTTTCCCATTCATATAATAATTCTTGGTAAAAAAGTCTATTCTTAATTTATAAAATAGTGTAATACAATTCTCTTTGCACATCTAATTTATACTATATATACAAAACAAAATCCTGAAATTTTAACTTCCCGCCCAATTCCTAAAAAAACTCTCTTCCCAATAAAATATATTGATTTCTACTTTTCCATTCGAACAATAATTCTGGGTAAAAATTTTATTCTAAAATTATAAAATAGTGTAATACAATTCTCTTTGCACATCTAATCTAATCTATACTATATATAAAAACAAAATTCTGAAATTTTAACTTCCCGCCCAATTCCTAAAAAATCTCGCTTTCCAATAAAATATATTAATTTCTACTTTCCCATTCGTAAAATAATTCTGGGTAAAAATTCTATTCTAAAATTTTAAAATAGTGTAAGACAATTCTCTTTGCACGTCTAATCTATACTATATATAAAAACAAAATCCTGAAATTTTAACTTCCCGCCCAATTCCTAAAAAATCTCTAATCCCAATAAAATATAATGATTTCTACTTTCGTATTCGTACAATAATTCTGGGTAAAAATTCTACTCTAAAATTATAAATTAGTGTAATACAATTCTCTTTCAACATCTAATCTATACTATATATAAAAATAAAATCCTGAAATTTTAACTTTCCGCCCAATTCCTAAAAAATCTCTCTTCCCAATAAAATATATTGATTTATACTTTCCCTTTCGTACAATAATTCTGGGTAAAAATTATATTCTAAAATTATAAAATCGTGTAATACAATTTTCTTTGCACATCTAATCTATACTATATATAAAAACAAAATCCTGAAATCTTAACTTCCCGCCCAATTTCTAAAAAATCTCTCTTCCCAATCAAATATATTGATTTCTACTTTCCCATCCGTACAATAATTCGGGGTAAAATTTCTATTCTAAAATTCTAAAATAGTGTAATACAATTCTCTTTGCACATCTAATCTATACTATATATACAAAACAAAATCCTGAAATTTTAACTTCCCGCCCAATTCCTAAAAAATCCCTCTTCCCAATAAAATATATTGATTTCTACTTTCTCATTCGTACAATAATTCTGGGTAAAAATTCTATTCTAAAATTATAAAATAGTGTAATACAATTCTCTTTGCGCATCTAATCTAATCTATACTATATATAAAAACAAAATCATGAAATTTTAACTTCCCGCCCAATTCCTAAAAAATCTCTCTTTCCAATAAAATATATTGATTTCTACTTTCCCATTCGTACAATAATTCTGGGTAAAAATTCTATTCTAAAATTTTAAAATAGTGTAATATAGTTCTCTTTGCACGTCTAATCTATACCATATATAAAAACAAAATCCTGAAATTTTAACTTCCCTCCCAATTTCTAAAAAATCTCTATTCCCAATAAAATATAATGATTTCTACTTTCCCATTCGTACAATAATTCTGGGTAAAAATTCTATTCTAAAATTTTAAAATAGTGTTATACAATTCTCTTTGCACGTTTAATCTATACTATATATAAAAATAAAATCCTGAAATTTTAACTTCCCGCCCAATTCCTAAAAAATCTCTATTCCCAATAAAATATAATGATTTCTACTTTCCCATTCGTAAAATAATTCTGGGTAAAAATTCTATTCTAAAATTTTAAAATAGTGTTATACAATTCTCTTTGCACGTTTAATCTATATATATATAAAAACAAAATCCTGAAATTTTAACTTCCCGCCCAATTCCTAAAAAATATCTATTCCCAATAAAATATAATGATTTCTACTTTCCCATTCGTACAATAATTCTGGGTAAAAATTCTATTCTAAAATTTTAAAATAGTGTTATACAATTCTCTTTGCACGTTTAATCTATACTATATATAAAAACAAAATCCTGAAATTTTAACTTCCCGCCCAATTCCTAAAAAATCTCTCTTCCCAATAACATATATTAATTTCTACTTTCACATTCGTACAATAATTCGGGGTAAAAATTCTATTCTAAAATTCTAAAATAGTGTAATACAATTCTCTTTGCACATCTAATCTATACTATATATACAAAACAAAATCCTGAAATTTTAACTTCCCGCCCAATTCCTTAAAAATCTCTATTCTCAATAAAATATATTGATTTCTACTTTCCCATTCGTACAATAATTTAGGTAAAAATTCTATTCTAAAATTCTAAAATAGTGTAATACAATTCTCTTTGCACATCTAATCTATACTATATATACAAAACAAAATCCTGAAATTTTAACTTCCCGCCCAATTCCTAAAAAATTCCTCTTCCCAATAAAATATATTGATTTCTACTTTCCCATTCGTACAATAATTCTGGATAAAAATTCAATTCTAAAATTATAAAATAGTGTAATACAATTCTCTTTGCACATCTAATCTAATCTATACTATATATAAAAACAAAATCCTGAAATTTTAACTTCTCACCCAATTCCTAAAAAATCTCACTTTCCAATAAAATATATTGATTTCTACTTTCCCATTTGTACAATAATTCTGGGTAAAAATTCTATTCTAAAATTTTAAAATAGTGTAATACAATTCTCTTTGCACGTCTAATCTATATCTATACTATATATAAAAACAAAATCCTGAAATTTTAACTTCCCGCCCAATTCCTAAAAAATCTCTATTCCCAATAAAATATAATGATTTCTACTTTCCTATTCGTACAATAATTCTGGGTAAAAATTCTATTCTAAAATTATAAAATAGTGTAATACAATTCTCTTTGCACATCTAATCTATACTATATATAAAAACAAAATCCTGAAATTTTAACTTTCCGCCCAATTCCTAAAAAATCTCTCTTCCAATAAAATATATTGATTTCTACTTTCCATTCGTACAATAATTCTGGGTTAAATTTCTTTTCTAATATTATAAAATAGTGTAATACAATCTATACTATATATAAAAACAAAATCATGAAATTTTATCTTCCAGCCCAATTCCTAAAAAATCTCTCTTCCTAATAAAATATATTTGATTTCTACTTTCGCATTAATACAATAGTTCTGGGTTTAAATTATATTCTGTTACTATAAATTAGTGTAATACAATCTATACTCTATACTATATATAAAAACAAAATCCTGAAATTTTAACTTCACGCCCAATTCCTAAAAAATCTCTCTTCCTACTAAAATATATTGATTTCTACTTTCTCATTCGTACAATAATTCTGGGTTTAAATTATATTCTATTACTATAAATTAGTGTAATACAATCAATACTATATAAAAACAAAATCCTGAAATTTTAACTTCGCGCTGAATTCCTAAAAAATCTCTCTTCCTACTAAAATATATTGATTTCTACTTTCTCATTCGTACAATAATTCTGGGTTAAAATTCTTTTCTAATATTATAAAATAGTATAATACAATCTATACTATCTATAAAAACAAAATTCTGAAATTTTAACTTCCCGCCCAATTCCTAAAATATCTCTCTTCCTAATAAAATATATTGATTTCTACTTTCCTATTCATACAATAATTCTGGGTTAAAATTCTATTCTAATATTATAAAATACTGTAATACAATTCCTATTGTAATCTATCTATCTATACATTTATACTATATATAAAAACAAAATCCTGCAATTTTAACTTCCCGCCCCCTAATTTCTAAAAAAATATATATTTTATTAAATAGTTTTTAAGAAAAAACTATGAGAACCTTATGTTTTATAAATGAATTTTTAAAATTTTTAATTAAAAAAATGTCCTGTGTATTATTTAATAATCTCTCTTATAATTGGTCAAATTATTTAATTATGGGAAATTAGGGAATAATTGATGATGGTAATAGAAATCCTAGAAGAATATAGAATTGAAGAATATTTAATTATTGTTATATTATTATTGTGACTCATGGAATACAATACAAGAATATTTAATTATGGTTAAATTATTATTGTGCCTCACGGCCATTATATACTAACAAAACTTGAAAAGAAACTAATAATAATAATAATAATAATAATAATATAATAATAATAATAATAATAATAATAATAATAATAATATAAGTGGTAATAATAATATCTAAAAGTAATTAAGTGTTAATAATAATAGTAAGAATATTAACGTAAGAATTATAACATAGAATAAATCGTAATAATTAATAAATCATAATAATTAATAACTATAGTCTAGGATTAAATTTGGAATTGTCAGGAAATAAGCGACCTCTGGTGAAATTAACTCTTAAATAAATATATATTGATTTAAATATTCTTAATATATTACAACAATTCCATTACGTGCATCGCACGGGTGAAAATACTAGTTATATATAAAAACAAAATCCTGAAATTTTAACTTCCCGTCCAATTCCTAAAAAATCTCTCTTCCCAATAAAATATATTGATTTCTACTTTCCCATTCGTACAATAATTCTGGGTAAAAATTCTATTCTAAAATTATAAAATAGTGAAATACAATTCTCTTTGCACATCTTTTTTTTTGAAAGTCAACCTGGAGGTTGTATTTATAGAAGTGGTAAAATAGAGTCTGGAGGGACATTGTCCCAGTACATAGCAGTATCAAACGTGAAAGCTGTAGAAGCTAGAGTATGAGCTAATGAATTCTGTAATCTAGGAATGTAAATAATTGAGCAATACGAAAAAGTAGATATATGAGCTCTGCAGTTGTCGATAGCATAGCCCAGGTATGACCGTGGTGTTATTGATGGTCCCGATAGATAGGACTGTAGCACTTGGCAATCCGTGAATACTTGTATAGATAATTCATCCCGCCTCTTGAGCCATGACAAGACTTCTTTGCATGCAATAGCCTCAGCCGATAGCGGGGAGTGGCATCCAATCAATGGGGCGGTGAAAGCCGACAAATAATGGCCGTTGGCGTCGAGGAGGATCGCCCCAACAGCAGCGGCATTCGTTCCGTGGTGGTAGCTGGCGTCCATGTAGCATTTTACCGGTGATGGTGATACACCATGGTGCGGGTCCGGCAGTACGGGCAGCAGCGGCGGTGGAAGAGCGGCAGTCGGTCCAGCAGTAGGCGGCAGCGGAGGCTGGTCGGCAGTACGGGCAGTAGCGGCGGTTCCTTGGCCCCGTTCCGGCTGTGGCGCACGGTGGTGAACCATTTTCCACGCCTTCATCGTGGACGTTGCAGTCAATAATAGCTTGGTTGGCGTTGGTAGGCAGGCATCCCACACTGCACCGTTTCGCGCCCTCCATAAATGATAAAGTATTGCAGCTGCATAAGTAATTCCATCAAAGTCTAGAACATTCAAGATTGCACTAAACCATTCATGGAAAACATTTGTCATAATAATGGGGATTGGAAGGTTGGATTTAGCCCATATGGAGTGTGCATAGTCACACAAAACTAATGCATGCATGGTATCCTCATTCATTCTTCCACACATGGCACACATCGGGTTAATCTCCACTCTCTTTATAAGCAAATTATTGGTAGTAGGGAGGATATCACAAATAGCCCTCCATAAGAATGTCTTCCATTTGGGTGGGATTTTTAGTTTCCATAGGGTAAGCCATTCACTAAAAATCCCATTAGAATTGTTCTCATAGTTTCCAACTATTCGTCTATATCCACTTTTGACTGAATAATAACCGTTAGGATCATCATACCAATACCATATATCTTCATACTCAGGGGCAACCGGTATTTTCTGAATTCTAGGTATATCATCTGGTTGGAAAATATCAGCTAGTATGTGCAGGTCCCATGTTTTTGTATCCTGATCAATTAATCCTACCACTTTGGCTCCAGACAGGTGTTGTGGCATTTCCGTATGAATCATAGGATCAATCTCATCCTGTAACCAAGGGTGTTCCCATATCAAGGTAGATTCCCCGTTCCCAATTCGCTTTCGTACACCTCCACATATTAAATCTTTAGCTGCCATAATGCTCCGCCAGCAGAAACTTGGATTATTTCCTATAGTTGCCTCTAGGAAAGTATCCTTTAGGTAATACCTGGCCTTATAAACCCTGGCTACCAATGAGTTTGGGTTAGTGAGCAATCTCCACGCCTGTTTTCCAACATTGCCAAATTAAATGCCCTTAAGTCTTTAAACCCCATGCCTCCATATTTCTTGGGGACACACAATCTATCCCAGGCTTTCCAGTGTATGCCCCGCTCGGTTCCTGACCCCCACCAGTACCGATTCATAACCCGCTCAATAGCTGTACAAGTAGATATAGGTAGTAGGAAGACACTCATTGAAAAAGTTGGCATTGCCTGGGCCACACTTTTTAATAAGATCTCCTTCCCAGCCTGGGTTAACAACCTCTTATTCCAGGACCCAATTCTCTGCCTTATTTTATCTTCTATATATGCAAACGCCGCCTTTTTATTTCTGCCCACAAAGGAGGGTAGTCCTAGGTATTTCCCGAAACTTGGAGCTTGGTTAACACCTAGTATTTGTGCTACCATATCCCTATCATTCTGCCCCGTATTTCTGCTATAACAAATGCTGGATTTATGATAATTTATCTTTTGGCCAGAGAAACTCTCATATAGTAACAAACAATTTCTAATTTCAGATGCTTCCTGCGTATTCGCTCTGAAGAACAGTAGGCTATCATCTGCAAAAAATAAGTGAGAGATCGGAGGTGCCCCTCTAGCAACCCTGCATCCATGTATTAATCCACTATCTTGCGCTCTCTGCAATAGAACTGACAGCCCTTCTGCACAGATAATAAATAAATACGGGGACAATGGATCCCCCTGGCGGAGACCACGCGTGGGTGTAATGGGAGAACTACGAGAGCCATTAATCAGAAGATTATATGACACAGTAGTGACACATAACATAATCAATTCAACCCACCTGCTATCAAAACCCAGGGCTAATAACATTTCACGGAGAAAGGGCCATTCCATGCGATCGTAGGCTTTGGCCATATCTAATTTAAGTGCTCCCCATCCTACAGCACCACATTGCTTCCTGTTCAAGAAATGCCCTACCTCAGCAGCTACAAGGATATTGTCAGTAATCAACCTGTCCGGAATAAATGCACTCTGAGAGCCCGATATTATCTTCTCCATTAATGGTTTCATTCTTTGCGTAATCATCTTCGCCATAATTCTGTAAATCACATTGCTTAGAGCTATAGGGCGAAAATCCGTTATCATTTCAGGGGTTTTCTTCTTCGGAATGAGTACCACATCCGTATCGTTTAGACCAGAGGGGAAGACACGATTATTGAGGCAGTTTAGAGTAAATGTCGAAATATCACTTCCAACTATGTCCCAAAAGTGCTGGTAAAATCCTGGGTTCATACCATCCGGACCAGGTGCCTTGTCTGGGGCCATTGCAAACAGAGCCTCTTTAACATCAGCTAGCTCAAAGGGTCGTAATAAGGATTCATTCTGAGTACGGGTCACACGGGGGGTTATCCCAGAGAATAACACATCACCATCCACAGGTCCACCAGAGGAAAATATATGGGTAAAATAATCCAAAATAATTGCATTCATAGCATTTCCTTCCAACCAATCCCCATTATCATTCATAAGCTTATAAATAGTATTCTTCTTCTTACGATGAGAGGCGTACCTGTGATAAAATCTTGTATTTGCGTCAGCATTCTTGAGCCAGTGTTGCTTAGCTCTCTGTTTCCAGTAAACATCCTCTTGGGCCTCCATACTACACAGAAGTCCTTCCAGTCTTTGGAATTCAGCCAAAGAAGTAGAGTCAGTGCGACCCCTCAGACGCAGTTGCTGATTTCGCAGGAGCATGATTTTCTCCCCAAACTTATGATACCGATCACCACCCCACCTGGTTAACCGGTTCCCACAATGCACTATACAGTCCTGGACCCCATCACGCCTTCCCTCCTCCCATGACTTTTCCACAACATTCCTGCACCCATCATCATAAATCCAAGCCATCTCAAACCGAAACCGAAAGCCCCTCCTCCCTCGCCCTCCTCCCTGGAACGTGTCATTAATACTCAGAAATAACGCGGAGTGATCCGATTTCCGCATCAGATTATTAACAAGCCTGGCCCCCGGCACAATCTCTCGCCAATCATCAGACACCAGTACCTTATCCAACATTTCCTCAATACAATTTGATGTTCCTTTCCCTTTTTCCCAAGTAAAACGGTACCCCTCCATAGGCAACTGAGTCAAACCACATTGATCAATAGTCTCCCCAAACCCGCGTAGGAGATTATCGGGGTGTGGATTGCCCCCCCTCTTCTCATGCTGAAACAACAGCTCGTTAAAATCCCCGATCATAACCCAAGGTAGAGTAGAGCGCTGCGCGAAGGATTTTATCAAGTCCCATGCCTCCATGCGCCTATGTCGCTGGGAGTAGCCATAATAACACGTCATCCTCCATCTGGGAAAGCTGGGCATATTCACCTCAATATCAATATAATTTTTAGAGTAACTCAAGAGACTTGCCGTATCATTCTTACGCCACAGTAGTGCTAGGCCACCACCGCCTTGTGGAGTTGGATTAACATAAAAAAGACCATCAAAACCAAGGGAGACACGAATCCTTTCAGCATGTATTCGTTCCACCATGGTTTCCATAAGAAAAATAAAATCAGGCTTCTTACGGGACGCTAGGTCCGTTAACTCACGAACTGTTCGTGGATTACCCAAGCCACGACAGTTCCAGCTGATGGTACTCATAATGATGGGCGGGTCTGGGAACCAGTACCCGCCGCAGACAAGTTTTTTTGGATCTCTGTCATAACAACATCATCACCATTCCTCACTCTGTTCTCATCATTCCCATTCAAATCCGCACGCCTCCTCTTCGTTGCAGCCTCAACTACAACACTCTCGCCACAAACCCGTGTAGGGTCGGATGTAGCATCACCATGGTCCTCAACCCGCACCGTCGGCATAATATCCAAGGGGGATCCCGCCATAGGCTTGCCGTTCATGTCTAGCAGCCATGACGCACCCACTTTTCGTGGACCCTTCTTAAAGCCCGCACGTAAGCCCTCACCATACGGATATTGATCAATCGGAAGCCCTGCATCCCTTGCTTTCAGACAATACTTATGTAGATGCCCCATCATACCACAAAAGTAACAGAAATTATGCAGTCTTTCATACTTAAAATTAACCCAACAAGTTGACTTATCCCTCTTCATGAATTTCATACGTCGTTTTAGCGGTTTCAAAATTGAGATGGAAACCCTAATTCGATAGAATGTTTTCTATGGCGCATTCGCAAATCGATCATCAACTTTAATAAACGTTCCAAGGAAATTTCCAACCTGCTCCAGAATGATGTCAGATGTGTAACCCAGTGGTAAGTCATGTACCTGAATCCACATATCAACCGTATCCAGCGGTACCGTGCCCGGAATAACCCCATCCTGAACTTGTTTGCAAACAAACGTGTGATTCTCAAAGGACCATGGCCCTCCCTCAAGAACCAATTGAATATCTGTTTCATGGAAAAACACAAACAGGAAAAGCCCCGGTTGCAATTCTGAAACTTGAACCCCCTTAACCGGCTGCCATACCGAAGCCATGACTTGGCTCATGAACTCCGTCTTAATAAGCTTAGTAGTCAAAAACCTGCCAACTAGCCGCCATACCTGAACTGCCGCAGCCGGCTGCTCAGCATCCGCCACTCCGGGAGGTACGAAAACCTCATCCTCCTCGTCGTCAAGGACGACGTCAGCCCACCGTCTCCCCAATATGTTGACCGCCTCCGTCACCGATCCTCGCTCCATGCAAGCAGATTGGAATCGTCGCCGAGATTTCCCGTAGAAAGAGGCCAAAAGTCGCCGGAAAGCACTCGAAACCGAGTAGGGAAGAAGAAACCCTAGCGAAACCCTAGAGAGGAAAATTATGATCCATCCACTTAATTCTATATTCTCTTTGCACATCTAATCTATACTATATATAAAAACAAAATCCTGAAAGTTTAACTTTCCGCCCAATTCCTAAAAAATCTCTCTTCCCAATAAAATATATTGATTTCTACTTTCCCATTCGTACAATAATTCTGGGTAAAAATTCTATTCTAAAATTTAAAAATAGTGTAGTGCAATTATCTTTGCACATCAAATCTATCTATACTATATATAAAAACAAAATCCTGAAATTTTAACTTCCCGCCCAATTCCTAAAAAATCTCTATTCCCAATAAAATATAATGATTTCTACTTTCCCATTCGTACAATAATTCTGGGTAAAAATTCTATTCTAAAATTATAAAATAGTGTAATACAATTCTCTTTGCACATCTAATCTATACTATATATAAAAACAAAATCCTGAAATTTTAACTTTCCGCCCAATTCCTAAAAAATCTCTCTTCCCAATAAAATATAATGATTTCTACTTTACCTTTCGTACAATAATTCTGGGTAAAAATTCTATTCCAAAATTATAAAATAGTGTAATACAATTCTCTTTGCACATCTAATCTATACTATATATAAAAACAAAATCCTGAAATTTTAACTTCCCGCCCAATTCCTAAAAAATCTCTCTTACCAATAAAATATATTGATTTCTACATTCCCATTCGTACAATAATTCTGGGTAAAAATTCTATTCTAAAATTATAAAATAGTGAAATACAATTCTCTTTGCACATCTAATCTATACTATATATAAAAACAAAATCCTGAAATTTTAACTTCCCGCCCAATTCCTAAAAAATCTCTCTTCCCAATAAAATATATTAATTTCTACTTTTCCATTCGTATAAAAATTCTGGGTAAAAAAGTCTATTCTTAATTTATAAAATAGTGTAATACAATTCTCTTTGCACATCGAATTTATACTATATATACAAAACAAAATCCTGAAATTTTAACTTTCCGCCCAATTCCTAAAAAATACCTCTTCCCAATAAAATATATTGATTTCTACTTTCCCATTCGAACAATAATTCTCGGTAAAAATTCTATTCTAAAA